TTGAGGAGCTCCTCAATCCCACCCATGCACATTCTGAGGAGGAACCAGAGCCAGGAGACCTGGGGATGGACTGTCCGATCTCGGGGGCAGAAGTTGCTGAGGTAGTCAAACAACTACACAGCGGTGGAGCTCCGGGGGCGGATGAGGTTTGTCCTGGGTATCTCAAGGCAATGGATGTTGTAGGGCTGTCATGGTTGACACGTCTCTACAACATTGCGTGGTCATCGGGGCAGTTCCTGTGGAGTGGCAGACCGGGGTAGTGGTCCCTCTTTAAGAAGGGTGACCTGAGGGTGTGTTCCAACTATAGGGGGATCACACTCCTCAGCCTCCCTGGAAAGGTCTACTCCAAGGTACTGGAGAGGAGGGTCTGATCGATAGTTGAATCTCAGATTGAGGAGGAGCAATGTGGTTTTCGTACTGGCCGTGGAACTGTGGACCAGCTCTATACCCTTGCAAGGGTAATGGAGTGGGCATGGGAGTTTGCCCAACCAATCCACATGTGTTTTGTGGATTTGGAGAAGGCTTATGACCGTGTCCCCAGGGGCACCCTGTGTGGGACGCTCCAGGAGTATGGGGTGGGTGGCTTTCTGTTACGGGCCATTCAGTCCCTTTACCAGAGGAGCGTGAGTTTGGTCCGCATAGCCAGTAGTAAGTCAGACCTGTTCCCTTGTGATGGTTGGACTCCGCCAGGGCTGCCCTTTGTCACCAGTTCTGTTCATTACCTTTAAGGACAGAATTTCTAGGCGCAGCCGTGGTGTGGAGTGTGTCGAGTTTGGTGGCAGGAGAATCTCGTCTCTGCTTTTTGCAGATGATGTGGTCCTCCTAGCTTCACCCAGCTCTGACCTTCAGCTCTTGCTGGGTAGGTTCGTGGCCGAGTGTGAAGCGGCTGGGATGAGGATCAGCACCCCCAAATCTGAGACCATGGTTCTCGACCGGAAAAGGGTGGCTTGCCAACTCCGGGTCGGGGGAGAGGTCCTACCTCAAGTGGAGGAGTTTAAGTATCTCGGGGTCTTGTTCACGAGTGAGGGTAAGAGGGATCGGGAGATCGACAGGCGGATTGGTTCAGCGTCTGCAGTGATGCGGACGCTGAGCCGATCTGTCGTGATGAAGAGGGAGCTGAGCCAGAAAGCCAGGCTCTCGATTTACCGGTCGATCTATGTCCCAATCCTCACCTACGGTCATGAGCTTTGGGTAATGACCGAAAGAACGAGATCGTGGATACAAGCGGCCGAAATGAGTCTCCTCCGTAGGGTGGCCGGGCTCAGCCTTAGAGATAGGGTGAGGAGCTTGGACATTCGGGAGGGACTCGGAGTAGAACCGCTGCTCCTCCGGATCGAAAGGAGCCAGTTGAGGTGGTTTGGGCATCTGGTCAGGATGCCTCCTGGACGCCTCCCCGGGGAGGTGTTTTGGGCATGTCCTGCTGGCAGGAGGCCCCCGGATCGACCCAGGACACGTTGGAGAGGTTACATCTCCAATCTGGTCCGGGAACGCCTTGGGGATCTGCCGGAGGAGCTGGTCGGTAGATCTTTTAGAACTGCAGTTCAAAGGTAACTCATAAGGTGAATATATATGAACCCAGGTAACAGTTTCTCTTTAGGATTGAGAGGAGATGCAGGAAGATAATAAACAGGCAGGACAGAAAAATAGTCAAATAAAAACAAGTTAGTTTTTGTACCTGGTGGTTGCAAAAAACAGACACCATTGAAGGTAATCAGAAGTGAGGAACAGAAAATGAAATAATTATTTTAATGTTTAGAGCAGGAGGAACTCTGAGAGGCTGCAGGCGCATCAGTGAGTTTGCGGCCGCTGCGCGGGGGGAGGGTGGAGAGTGCTGAAGCAGAATCTACCGTTGTTAAAAGAAATGTGTTTAACTTTGAAAATGTGGGCGCAATTTTAATTGTCAAAAACTCCAGCGAACCATTAGTTCATTCTGCTCAAATAGAAATAGAGGCCTGCCTCTAATACTGGCCCTCCTTCCAATAAAGGCCTGGAGCTTGTTGAGCTTGAGTCAAAAACAGGCCCGGGCCTGTATTAGAGGATTTACGGTGTATATATACATGTACATATATACAAATATGTATATATGTATGTATATATATATATATATATATATATATATGTATGTATATATATATATATATATATATATATATATATATATATATACATATACACATATATATATATATATGTATATATATATATATATATATATATATACATACAGATATAGGCACCATGCATTTCTCTTTGTAATCCTCACCTTTACTATGCCGTATAGTTTTAATACCATTAGATCCAAAAACAGAGATCTTTGTCTTATCACTCCAGAGTTTAGAGTCCCAGAAGTCTTCATCTCTTCCAGCATGGGTCCTAGCAAACTCTAGGCATGTTTTTTGTGCATGGGCTTTAGGAGAGGCTTCCTTCATGGACAATACCCATGCATGCCGTTCCCCTGGTGTGTGCCGTATGGCGTCACGGGAAACGAACACTCCAGTTTGGCTTTCTACTGCTTTAGCTACCTGCAGTGGACTTGCATGGAGATTTTCTTCAGCCTTCTGATCAGTCTCTGTAAGATGGTTGCTCTTCCACCTCTCCTAAATGTTTGGATCACTGCTGCTACAGTGTTCTGACTGATACGTAAAGCTTTGCTGATCTTCTTGTAGCCCTCACCTGTTTGTGTAAAGAAATGGTTTCCTTTCTCAGATGTTGTGACATTTCTCCTCCACGTGGAGGCGTTGCTGACAGCATGAAGTGGGAGGGGCTTTTCTCTGTTCAGTAATGTCCTTTTATGGTCACCTGTCTGCTGGATGCCTCTTACATGAATCATTAGACTCACCTGTGGGTGAATGCCTGTTCTTTTGAATTCTGTAGTCTTAAGTGTGGCTTTTCTCCTAAGACAAGAACTGGGGTGTACTCATTTTAGCAACATGGGCTTGAATGGATTTGTTAGGAAAATCACCGTTTTGTGCGTGAAAATGAACAAATCTTGTTTGACATCAACGGCCCACATTAGTCAGACTATTTTGTAGTTTGGTATCTCAGAAAATGTTGATTCTGAAAGGAAATTAAAGGTTTTCTGACAAATGTAGTGGGGTGTACTCATTCATGTTTATGTATTTAGCAGACACTTTTGTCCAAAGTGACTTACAAGTGATAATCGGCATGTTGCCCTTGAGGCTAACAACAACAATAACAACAACTTGACATCAGTCATGGAGAGGAGGGAACAAAGGAGTGGACAGTAGAGAGGGGGGACAGGTGCAGGGAGAGTGCTAGTTTAGAAGATGCTCTCTGAAGAGCAGGGTCTTCAGGAGTTTCTTGTAAATTGAAAAGGAAGCTCCTGTTCTGGTAGAGCTTGGAAGGTCATTCCACATTTGTGGAACGATGCATGAGAAGAGTCTGGATTGTCCTGAGCGTGGTGTAGGCACTGTTAGCCGACCATCCTGTGATGACCGGAGCGGCCGGGCCGAGACGTACGCCTTTGCAAGAGGATTCAGGTAGATGGGAGCCGTACCGTCTCGGACTTTGTATGCTAGTGTTAGCAATTTGAATTTGATGCGTGCTGCTAGCGGTAGCCAGTGGAGCTCAATGAACAGAGGGGTGACGTGTGCTCTTTTTGGCTGATTGAAGACCAGACGCGCCGCTGCGTTCTGGACCATTTGAAGAGGTCTCACAGTACAGCCTGGAAGACCAGTTAGAAGGGCATTGCAGTAATAGAGGCAGGAGATGACAGTAGATTGCGCCAGGAGCTGGGTGGCATGTTGTGTTAGGTATGGTCTGATCTTTCGTATGTTATGCAGCGCAAAGCGGCATGAACGAGCAACAGAGGCAACATGATCTTTAAAGGTCAGGTGTTCATCAATCACAACACCCAGATTTCGAACTGCCTGTGAAGGAGCCAGAGATAGGAAGTCATTTTGGATTGAGATATTGTGCTTTATGGATGTTATTGCTGGGATGACAAGTAGTTCAGTTTTAGAGCGGTTGAGTTGGAGATGGTGGGGTTTCATCCATTTTGATGTCAGAGAGACATATCAAAATGATCATTTATGCTGAGCCCTGTATGTGCACAGACACACAAATGCACGCACAGCACTGTCCTCATGTCTATGGTTCTCCGGTTTCTGTGTGTGTGTGTGTGTGTGTGTGTAAACATTATGGACCCTTTGCTTGTGACACCACACCGCTCATGACCCTTCACCGTGACAGCGGTAGACATATTGTTTGCTTAAATTGAAACCCCTTTGATGCTAGTCGAAACAAGCCAGTTTAGGCCTTTAACTGACTTTATTAACAGTTGGCCGCACTAACACACGAGGGTGCAAACCCAACTTTTTAAACTTTGATGGAGACCGAAGACGGAGCTGAACCGCGGCGGTAACGCGCTGGCAGCCGTCCAGGTTACCGTGTTTTTACAGCAAACGCGTTTCAGATCCACGTTTCATGAGGAAGACGGGGACCGACTGATGGACATGAAATGATAAATGACTTATTTAGTATAGATAATCCATACATCACCATGGTTACCGTACACTATAATGAATGACTACATATTAATAGCATTGTTCCGATGTAGGGTATGTTTGTGAAAATGCTGTTATTTACTCAGCACGACGCGTCACCGGCTTCAGACATCTTGTGTCGCCGCCCGATGTGAGTAGCAGCTGGACCCATGACCCAGCCTCCCACTGGAAGGGATCTGGACGTTGTTTTAGTCAGCTCCAGTGGAACGTGGAACACCGTTTTCCACGTAACGTTGGAAATCCAGCAAGGGGAATTCTGGCAGCAGCTTGTTTACCCGGGTGACCAACAGCTTCCAACAACCTCAGTCAGCACGTTTACCCTCCGATCATTACTCCTCTCTTTCAGTTAGCAGGTGACACAGGCCCAAAGGGTCATAGTGCTCATTCTGGCTGACCTTTGACCTTTAGGGTGGATGTTTTGAACCTCTATCAGGAGGTGATTTAAGTGTGATAAAAGCATCTGAGGACACCGAGGAGAACACCAGTCTGAGTTTTATAACAAACGACTCCTTACACTCTTGTTGGCGGTGAAGCCAACAACACATTTACAGATATGGCCTCATCTTTTCCTCCGCTTCATCAGCGGTCAGGTTTAACTGGCAGTCCCTCAGGGCAAGAATCAGCTCCTCCGCTCTGGCCTCGGCTCCTCGACTCTTCCTCCACTCCTTCAGCAGCTCCATCGTGGTCTCCTCCAGGTCTCTGGGATGCCTGCTGGAGATGGAATCCAGCTTCACCTCGCTTATTTTGAGTTTGCGTCCCAGTTTGCGCCAGTTCCTACCCAGATGCTCTGTCATGACCTCGAAGGCAGCATCCAGCTTCGCTGAGAGAAAAGAAGATGGTGTTACAGAGATCATCCAGACTTTATTTCAAACATAAGACACTTTATTTAAAAATGAGATCTCACGGTGCTATGTGGAAAACACATGTTCACAGTGGCATCCATGATAAGCACATTGCGACTGGGAAGCAGGTATGTGTTCACCTCTCTACCTTCTACTCTACTCAGATGGTATTTGCAGCACTGTACTACAGCAGGGATTCCCTCAGTGTGCGACTAGACCTGGAAGGCTGCGGGAGCTTGGAGCAAGTCTGTAGGTCACAGAGGAACCACGGCCAGCGGGTGCAGAAGAGCACATGAAGCAGAGCGGGATTTTAAAAGTGTGGCTGAAATAGCACCTAAAGACCCCGCATCCTCCGCTCAGCCTTTCACGGACTGACCTGCGCCACGGTGATTCAGACAGAGCGCTCAGAACTCCTCTGCTCCGTCAGAACATTTAAGCAGGTGCTGGATGCAGGGACAAGCGTTGGCTAGTCTACTCTGTGATTAAAGCATATTTAAGTGATTTTAAAACAACAAAATGTCTCAAAATTAAAACAGAGGCGTCTATTTAGGGATCATAAATCCAGAGCAATCTCCCCAGTTATGAACCTAACCCCCAGGATGCTTGTTAGTCCGTGTGGCAGATTCAGCCAGAACATTAATACAGTCATGAGCCCGTCTGAGGCTAAAGCCAGAACTTCATCATGACTCCAGGCTCTTCAGAGAGCCCCATTAGAGAGATCTGATTACACACAAGCAGGTGACCAGTTCAATATACACACACACACACACACACACACACACACACACACACACACACACACACACACACACACACACACACACACACACACACACACACATATACATTTGTATATATACATTTGTATATATATATATATATATATATATATATATATATACACATGTATATATATATATATATACATGTGTATATATATATATATATATATATATACATGTGTATATATATATATATATATATATACATGTGTATATATATATATATATATATATATATATATATATATATATATATATATATATATATATATATATATATATATATATATATATATATATATATGTATATATATATATATATATATATATATATATATATACATGTATATATATATATATATATATATACATATATATATATATATATATACATATATATATATATATATACATATATATATATATATATATACACATGTATATATATATATATATATACACATGTATATATGTGTGTGTGTGAGTATATATATATGTATATATTTATGTATATAAGTAGATAGATAGACAGACAGACAGACAGACAGACAGACAGACAGATGGATAGACAGACAGATAGATATACACATACATATATACAGAAAAGACGTCAGTTCCACTCTCATTTTGGAACTATTTTTCAACCATGATGGAACGCGTTGTTTTGACGTTGTTTCAGCGGTCATTAAACGTCCGACTGTTTGTTGGGTCATGCTGAGCCAGGATCCTCTGGAGGTTTCTTCCTGTTAAAAGGGAGTTTTCCTCTCCACTGTCACTGCATGCTTGCTTAGTATGAGGATTGCTGTAAAGACTCTGACACTAGTCAGTGACTCGATGCAACCTGCTGGGTTCCTTATACAGGAAACTTTTACTGATTGGCTTAATGAACTGACCTGTGTTGGAATGTTTACTGTGAGTCTTGTTGTGAATTGGCGCTATATAAATAAACTGAATTGAATTGTTTGGATAACAGCAACAAGACTCTACTACTGATTTGCATCGTTGATGTTTTATCTCCACAACACGAGCCTGGAGGAGTTCTGCTGTGTGGTGGAGTTGCTAACAGTTAGCTTCTACTAGCGAAGACGTTCTCTGCTGTTTCCTGGACGCTAAACCAACAACAGCCTTCCTGACAGTGTGACATAGATCTGTGAGGAATTTCTAATCCTAGAGTTTCACCGTCTGTTTTCTATCAGAAGCTGATGCAGGAGATCGGTGTAGGAGACTATTTCATGTTCAGCCTGCATGGCACACACAGAGACTGATTATAATCAGAAATTTTAATTTTTTTTCAGTGTTAGTCACGCCTTTAAAGTGGTAACAATGTGAAAGTAGAAATGTATAACTGTACAATAATCCCTCATCTGGGTCAACCTAATCCGGTCCTGCTGGTACCTTGTTCCGTCCGGTCCAGAACATCAGTGGATCCGCTCGGACTTCCCCAGCTGCTGATTCTGACTGACAGGTCCGGACGCTGGATCTCCTCCAGAAGCCCCGAGACAAAGTCTGTGTCTTCCGGTGTGAGTTTGCGTCTCTCCGTCAGAACCTCGAACAGCCGGTGGCCGGTACCGATCTTCTCCAGCTCTCGCCTCCCGATCACATGCCGAAGCAGGAACTTGAGTTTGTCCAGGTTGTCCGCGGTCAGCTCGTTGGAGATCTCCAGCAGGACGGAGTTGAAGGGTTGAGAGTTCATGACTCCGTGAGGATTTTTAGACCGAATCAAGCCAGGAAGAACCGAGCGTTTACTTTCACTTCCGCCCACTGTTGTGGCGCCCCCTGCTGGAGCGTGATGTCATTGAGTATCCCAGTGATTCGCAGAGTAGCCCCTGGCTGCATCCCGCAGATCGGGGCGGGGCTAAATGTGGGCGGGGTCAAACGTTTAGAGGTGGGTGGAGATTTGACTCCTGCCCCTCTTCAATGGAACCAACCGCGAGCCCCTTTCTAAGGATTAGAAAGCCCTAAAAACCCACAAAACCCATGTAAAGCATAACATTGGTAATCAAATGACTTGTTTGCTGGATGTCATGATAATTTTAAAGAGCAGATAATTACAGGCGCCATTTTTGATCCAATCTGTTCTGATATTTTTATTCTTTTTTCTACTTTTGTATGGTATGTGTATTTATAGCACATAGGTATTTGTGTCTTTTAGCTATACTTTTGGTACCTATATAAAAGGTTCAAGAATTTGATAAGACTATTCTTTGAACCTGTCAAAACCATTTTAATAGTTTATTTTATCAATGCTGCCTTTATTTTGAGTCATTTCCCAAGTGAATGTAAAACAGTATAGACAGACACGGGTAAATTTGTTGTACACTCAGTTATATCAGCTACATTAAGAGGACCAGAGACTTAAATTGTGTTGATACTTCTTAAAACACGCCAGGGTTTGAGGCGGGGTGGTGAGACATTGTGTGAGACACACAAGAATGCAGACTACATTTTTCAAAAAAGGTAAATTTAATAGAACAACAGCCAACACAGGAATAAAAAAAAGTACAAACAAATGAACCAAAAAGCACAAAAAAACAAGAGAACCTCCAAAAAAAAAAACAATTTGAGGAGGAAACAGAATGCAAAAACTGTTTGACACCGCTGTATTATGGCATTTCAAAGCCAGAAAACACCTTCATCTTCCTTTTTCCCTCAGTTTCTTTGCAGAACTCCTCATAGTCTGACTGAAAACTAAACATGAACAGGAACGGTTCCCTGCAATCATTCATCTCCTCTTCATCCAGGGCCATCACAGAAGCATTCAATTAAATTCAAAAATACTTTATTAATCCCAGAGGGAAATTGATTGTTGTAGTAGCTCAGAATAATAATAATAATCAAGTCATCAAAGGGCTGTTGTATATTACAATGGCTGTTGGCAGGAAGGATCTCCAGTAGCGGTCAGTGTTGCAGCCAAACTGAAGAAGCCTCTGACTGAAGACACTCTTCCGTTGTCGGACAGTCTTGTGAAGAGAATGCTCAGGGTTGTCCATCATTTTCTTGATTCTCTGGAGAATCCTTCTTTGCATGATCTCCTCCAGCGGTTCCACAGTCGTCCCCAGAACAGAACCAGCCTTTTTTATTAGGCTGTTGAGCCTTTTCAGGTCCCTGCTTCTGATGCTGCTACCCCAACAGACGATGGCTGAAGAGATTACACTCTCAACAACAGACTTGTAAAAGATCTGCAGCATCTTGCTACAGACATTGAAGGACCTAAGTGTCCTCAAGAAGTGCATTCTGCTGTGTCCCTTCTTGTAAACGGCTTCACAGAACCTCTCCACTGCCCCCCGGCAAGCTTCCCTGTCCATGGTGATGACCTTGGGAAGGGAAATGTTTCCTATGAAGGACCTTGTGGTACACCACCTTGCTGCCTCAAAGGTGTCCTCAAGCAGAGAATTCTCCTAATCAAAAATAAAGACAATATTAAAATTACTGTTGTCATGAGATTAAAAACATATTTTACATTAATTATGTATGGTCTGTAATTAATTTTCCCTGCTTCAGCACAGCTGATTTCAATTGATGGCTGATGAACAAGCTTTTGCTTCACTGCAATCATCTCAATACGGTGTGCTATATCACAGAAACTCCAAAAACATGCAGTGCAGTGTGCCTTGAGGACCAGGGTTGAAAAACACTCCTCTAATTATGTTATGAACGGCACCTTTTTAAGTCTGCTTAAGTCACATCATTTACTAATTTGTTGCTAGTTAGGAAAATTGGCTTTACACCATTCTTTCTTTATTCTATATTTAGCATGTAACAACGATTAAAAAACAAAACTAACATATTTTCCCTATGTAATGTATAGTATTTCTCCCTCAACAGTAGATCGTGCCAGATATTAATATTGTTCTAAAACTTGATAAAGGAGCTTTAAGTCAAGGTTTATATAATTACACATATCAGATTAGCACTCTAACCATAATAATAAAGCCCATCAGGTGTAGAACCCAGATACGAACATAAAAAGCTTAAAAAAAACTAACATATTTCCCCCTGTAAAATATATTTTCCACCTAAAAGTAATCATGACCACACAATATCTCCCCAAAGCTATAAAAGTGTTCCTAAAGGTTTCTTCAACTTAAATTTAAGTCTGTTTAAGATCTTTCTAAAGCCATATAGAAAATTAATACCTATTTCACAGCACTATCAGCTAAAAATAAATCAATCAATCAAATTAAATTATTGAACTAGTTTTCATTTATTTATCTACATATCTTTACCAATATATTTTGACAAAACATTGGGTGGGCACTTGGTAGAAGATCGGTTATATTTTTAAACAAATGGTTAAAAATATAACGGATCTCTGGTTTGACATTAGAACCTTAACAATATTTTTTGTTGCCTATATTTTAGTTTAATTTTAAGAAGGTTTGTTTTTTAATTGTTAATTTTATTACCCTAATTTCTTGCAGTATTTCTATTGTATAAAAGCAACAGTGCAAACAGTAAAGACACAAAATTGAAATAAATGTCTAAAAATAGCCTTTATTGATACTAATGCTTCTCTTGGTGTCATCACTTGTTTGGAATATTTTGATGAACTTCAGAAGACAAATGCAGTACAGAAAACTTACATCCAACACAAATTTTAAGACCCTGATGCCAAAATTGAAGGGTTTCTCCAGTCTTTTAAAGGTATTACTTTCAAATTCATAAATTCAATCTTTTAAGACTCCGTGGGAACCCTGTACAGTCTATGGGGAACCCTGTAAACATTTCTCCTCAAAAGTAAGTCGCCCCGCATATGTAAAATAGGCTATATGTATCATCTAAAACTCATAATTGAAAAGAGAAAACCTTTTATTTCCAAGTTTATAAAACGTTCGCCCAACATTAGTCCTCGATATTGTTAAAACAGAGAAAGAAAAATCCTAGCTTACCTCCATTTGGCATCTACTTCCCTCTGTCCCGGCTACAGCATCGCACACACACAGCATAGTGGTTTCCTGGTTCCATTGAGAGAGGGGCAGGAGTAGTTGTCTCCGCCCACCTCTAAACGTTTGACCCCGCCCACATTTAGCCCCACCCCGATCTCCGGGATGCAGTCAGGGGAAGTTGGATTCGCACGCAGGGGTGCGCGTACCCCTAGTGGCCCATGAGGGCATTACAGGGGGTCTGTGGGGAAATGAGTACGTCATCACCCAGATGATGACAGCATTCGCTGTTCCCTGTTAATAAGAAAACCACGGGGCTGGGATCTGTAATGCTGGATGGATATGCAAATAAAGTAATGCACAGTAATATATGGCTGATATCTTATTATCAAGTTATCACTTCAGGTCAACCGCGACTGTGCATTGATGTTTTCAAGCTGCGTCAGTTTGGACCTGAGGCTGATGCTGCAGCAGCGCATGGATTCAGATGTACTTGGTCCGGTAACGGCGGTTGTACGGCCCTAATCTGGGTTTCGGGCGTGTGATGTTGAACAGAAAAAAATCCTCACTAAATGATCATGGTAAAGTCGTATCTGCGTTAATTTCTCGTTAACACCAATTCGCTTAAACGCCGCTCTTTGAAACACGATAAACACACAGACGTCCAAACTTTCTGACATCTCCAAGGATTTACTTTGAACAAATTTGTATTTGCAGCTGTTTCTCCCATTAAAGAGACAATGTGCAGTTTTTATTGTTAATCTCTGGAAACATCCATCAAAATGTTGTTGAAAATGAATGAAGCGATGCCCAGTTGTTGAAAAATATAGACAGCTTCGTAACATATAACCATAAAAATCAGGTCTAAAATACATGGGAGCGGGTCTAAGCCTCTGGGAGATGCCATATTAGATGCCATGTTTCCTTCTATGGGAGCCCTTGAGGACAAAACACATTTACTGTTTTGTAACAAACGGTTACAAAACTTTCACCATTAACAAACATTTTGTTTGACACATTTATCTCGTCACTTGTTGCCAGTGATGAAAACGAGTCTGATGTGCTCATGTGAAGTGTGCACTCCCCGGGTCTTTTTGACTCTAATGGGCATCCGTTCATAAGGTCTTACTCCAACAAAAACTACAGCTTACTTGCAATGATTTAGGTATTTCCTGCCCCCATCGCTAGGAAATTATTATAGGACTATTTGGTCATCGCTGGATATCGGCGAGGACACGTTACCTCCGTCCATGCCAAACCTACGTCCATGAGTTCCAGAAAAGTCATCAGCTGATCTGCCACAACCATTTCCAATATTTTAGAGATAAAGGGTCATTTAGAAATGGGTCTGCAATTTTTAGGCTGAGATGAGTCCAAACTTGGTTTTTTATGGATGGGTTCAATAACTGCATGTTTGAAAACAGATGGTACAGAGCCAGATTGTTGGGATAAATTAATAAAATCTACAATGCATGGGCCAGTTTGGTCAAACATCCTGATTAACAAGGTGGTAGGCATGAACTCAGCAGGGCATGAGGTTGGTTTCATGTGTTTCTGAATGAGGCAAATGTCCTGGAAATCTACAGGAGTAAAGACAGACCATGATTGGGAGGGAGGGGCTTGGATGGGGGGGTGGGGGGGGGGGTGGGAAGTAGATGGGGGTGAAAAACTTGCCCTGATATTTATGATTTTATTCTCAAAGAATGCTAAGTTGTTACAGTCGGACCACTTCAATTGGACTTGCTCCTAGCTATTTATCTGGACTTCTAGTGTCATATGTCCCGTCTTGTGGATTAAGGTTGGCTGATCAGCGTAGACTGACTGTACGTAGGGCAAGGCCACAGAGAAGAGGTTTTAGGTGTTTCTCATTGGCTTCACATACTTTGTGGAATATGTTGCTCATCTC